TCTCGGAGGCAAAATGAGCAAGAACGCTCAATTGTACATCATTCTAGACAGAAATAAATGGCCTTTTTAGAAAGTGAACCATGGATGGGGAAATGTTGGCAGTTTTCTCAAAAAATTCTTGAACTCAGGAAGTTTTAGATTTGCGTGCTTTTTTTTTCGAAAGAAAGAAGCATTTTTCCGGTTCACCACTGGCCCGCGTACCGGCATGAAATTCGCAATTTTTGACGGAAAAAATAGTGCGCAATTGATTTATCATCATTACTTCACTAGAATTGCGGTGTTACTCCCGATACGATAATTTCGTTCACACAGTAGCATTACAAGCAAAATAATTACTGTTTTCCGATTTTTTAATCTTTACTTTTACGCCGCTTTTTCCGTCATATCCCAAGAACCGTTCGAGCTATAAAGCCCGTTTTTTAACATTGGAAATAATTGGAATTATGTTGGTGTAACCTGAGACAACAAAAGTAACATTTTTCACACAAAAAGCGAAATTTTAATATCACACATTTAGGTGTAATATTTGGTGAAATTTTCATGCATTCCGGCCGCCTTTTTGCTCATTTTGCAGATTGAGCTAAAGTGCTCATTTCTACACCATTGGATCCAGCGCTAATCGGCGCTTTAAGGAGATGAAAGATTACTTAAAAAATGCTGCAAATTCTCACAAAAGCTAAAGTTTCAACAAAACTCTTAGTAAAATTCTAAACCGGACAAGACCATTTTTACATCATAGCAGAGAGATTTAGAATCCCCATTTAGTCAAAGTAAAGTGAGAGAGGAAAAAGAGACAGTTTTCACGTAAAAATCGAAGTTTCAATCACACATTGAGGTGCAACACTTGGCAAAAATTTCGTGTTTTCCGCCACCTTTTTGTTCATTTCTCAGTAAGAGATTTATCTAGAGCGCTCATTTCTTGACCACTGGATAACGAAAAGAAGAATTTACGAAGTGAAGCATTGCTGGGAAAATGTTTTTCTCACAAAAAGCCAAAATTTTAACAAAACTCTCATTTGTGCGCAGTTGCCTTGCAAAATGCGAAATTGAACGAAGCCTGTGTTTCAAGAACCATTTGTGCCCAAAGCACGGTTTTCTAGCACTGGAAAGAGACTTATAAACCCGATGTAGTAAGGCAAACGCCAGAGAAGAAAAAAAGTGATAATTTTCAGTGAAAAACGAAATTTGAGCGACACATTTAGGTGCAAGATTAGGCCCAAAATTTCAAGTTTTCTGCCACCTTTTTGCTCATTTTTCGGGTACAGTTTAAACCGGAACACTAATTTCTTTATCACTAGATAGAGGACTAAATGGCCTATTTATAAGGTGAAGCATCGATTGGAAAATGTTGGAAGTTTTTACACAAAAAGCCAAAATTTGAACAACTCGTATTTCTGCGCGATTGTCTTGCAAACTGCGAAACCGAACGAAGCCTGTTTCGGCGCGTTTCAAGAACCATTTGGGCCCCAAAGCACGTTTTGCCACCATTGGAAAGAGAATTATAAACCCGATTTAGTAAGAAGAACGCGATGGAAGAAAAAGTGACAGTTTGCAGACAAAAAGCGAAATTTAAATACGACACATTTAGGTGCCAGATAGGCCCAAAATTTGAGGTTTTCTGCCACCTTTTTGCTCATTTCTCGGGAACAGTTTAAACCGGAACACTCATTTCTTCTCCACTAGATAGATGACTAAATGGCCCATTTATGGGGTGAAGCATCGATTGGAAAATGTTGGCAGTTTGTACACAAAAAGCCAAAATTTGAACAACTCGTATTTTTGCGCGATTGTCTTGCAAACTGCGAAATCCAACGAGGCCTTTTTCAGCTTGTTTCAAGAATCATTTGTGCCCCAAAGCACGTTTTTCTAGCACTGGAAAGAGACTTACAAACACGATTTAGTAAGAGGAACGCGAGAGAAGAAAAAGAGACAGTTTTCAGATAAAAAGGGAAATTTGAATGCGACACATTTAGGTGTAAGATAAGGCCCAAAATTTCAAGTTTTCTGCTACCTTTTTGCGCATTTCTTGGGAACGGTTTAAACCGGAACACTCATTTCTTCACCACTAGATAGAGGACTAAATGGCCTATTTATAGGGTAAAGCGTCGCGTGGAAAAAGTTAGCAAGATTTATAAGCCAATCTTTAAACAGACGCTCTATCGAATGCCCGAGTTCTGCTAGTATAAACTAACTCACCCTATAATAAAGTCCAACGATGCACTATTACCAAAAAATGCAAAGTTGCAGAAAGTCGAGCAGCAGATCCAAAGCATTCGCCTCAAACTTTGCAAATGAGTGCGGAAATCCGTATACCTACTACACCGAACCGGTCTGATTCAACCACGATTGTAAGGGCGAAAAATTGAGAACAACATAAACCAAAATCCACGTAATTAATCTTGACTGAACTGAATCTATCCAAAGCATTTTCTGTAAAACGTGACTATGAAACACTTACACCAGATTAGGACAGGACACACAAAAGAAAATAAACCGTGTACGTGTAACGGAGATACGGTTTTTGTATGCCGTTCAGTTCGCTTCTGATAGAAGTGCTAATGAGTTTAGTTGATGAAGATCGGAACTTGGTAAATGGACGCCAAGTTGAAAAGGGTTTTTTCCTTAATAAAAATTGCCCGAGTCTATTTTTTTCATTAACTATGGATGTGCACGTTCTATTGGCTCTGGCAGACTTTCAGCCAGCTCTAATTGAATACATCATCCAAAATTTAAATAATTTCCCGGAAAATTTAACTGAAAGGTACAGTTTTGCCCGGTTTAATCCATCAACCTGTTGGAATTAATTCTCTTAACTCATCGCACGCTTTAAAGTCATAAATCTATTGCGCCAACGTTATAGCGTTAAATATTTAGGACATTTACACGAACATGCCTAATTAAACGAATAGAGATTATTAATTATCATGTTCACAGTTGTACTATTTCAAGTTTCAAAAACTGCATTTTAATTACTGAAACCACATAATAAATAGTAAATTGTTACGTTTATAAGTTTAAAAATAACGGGAATAATTGAATCGTTTTTTTACAGTATTGTAGGTATTACAGGGTACGGAACGGAATAGGGTGGTACTCGAACTGTACAAAAAAGCAGACATTTCTCTTGGAAAGACTTTATTCGGTGAACAGAAAATATAAAAAAATACTTCTAGAAGTTTAATATACGTATCCAACGGAACATCTATATGAGTCGACTGATAAACTTTAGCGAACTAAAAAATTGAATGAGGTTGTTTGATTATTTTTCACCTGCTAACAAAGGGATGTATTTACGATTACAAAGGGACCTCGACAATGTCCTCATCATCACTGTCGTTATTCAGCTTCCTCCTTTTACTCGATGAGCCTTCTTGAGGGTCCTCCGCCACTTCGTCTACAACCATTAGATCGTCTTCATCGCTCTCCGCATCTTTGCTTGAAGTGGCGCCGTTTTCTTTGCCTGGAAAAGCGCATTATTGATTGGACAATTTGTTGGACTCTAGTTGGAAATTTTCCTTACCATTTTGCGTTTCTTTGGCCTTCAGTTCCTCGGGATTTGCAACCACTTTGAACAAAGGGTCGTCCTTTTCCACTGGGACATACTGATTTACTGCCACGGTTAATTCATAGTTTTGCAAAAAATCGTCACATTTCAATATGCTGCCGTCTACGATGCTCAATTGAGACAAGGCTTTGTCATTGTTGACCTGTTAGGAGCAAAATACAAATACCCACAATTAAACAGGCTTTAAGACCGCGTGAAATAGAATTTGTTTTCAACAACTTGCCTGCCTCTTTTAATAACTTGGATGAAATTTATACGTTCTCTTACCTCAGTCTCGCCTTCCTCGGACGAAATTACCATCACACCTTTACCATCTAGAACGACATCGGGAGCCACCATGTTCAAGTGATTCTTCAGAACTTCCGATTCGAACTCTTTAACGGTCATTTTATCAACGTTAACAAAAACATTCACGAATGGCTTCGGGCTGCATACGTAGCACACCGGATTTGCCTAAAAATATTCCACAACAATAACACTCTACTGCAAGTTTATGAGGTCCAAAACTTACCTTGGTCAGTTGTTTATCAGCAGCCAAAATGAACTTTGAATGCACCGACTTTTGCCGTAGATAAATCGATGGGCATTTCTCGTAGTCCTCAACCAGGAGTCGGAAAGCGTACAACACTACCAGACCAGCAATCATCGCGTTTGCTGTAGCAATGGCCGGAATGATATTACCGGCAATAGCTAAAATTATACTTGACCTTATTGAAAGCTGTCCACTGTCCGGAATAATGCAAAAATATTCTTTCAGTGTGGCGCAAGACCGTGGAATTTTTTTAATACTTACATTTAATTTCAAACTTTGATTTTTGAGCTATCGAGAAAATGTAAGCCCGAATATTAGCACAGGCAGCCACAAAGTCCATGGCAGGCTGATCGTCTTTGTCCCACACAAGGAAATCCTTATTAGCATGTTCTTTCTTCAAAGTTGTGACGCTGTCCGCGAAAACCTTCAATAAAACCTCAACATGCACAAACTGGCTGCATTTGCACACTCGAATATTACCTGGGCACATTTTGCGATTGACCAAACTTCCATATCTCTCACCCTAACACTGTTCTCGTCCTTCTTGGTTTTATCTCCTACTAGTGCAGCGGCATCTTTCCATGAAAGTGGTTTTGGCGGAGTTCTGGTTTTCCATAGATTCTCTGGAAAAGCGCACAAATACTCAGAAATAGTACAAATGGCTAGCGAAAGAGTTTGTACCCATGCTCAGTAGATAATTGATATCCTCCGAAAAGAATTTGTTGAACAATTTTTCGGGATCGTACTCGATGTCTTGCGTCCATTGTTTGGTGGAAAGTCGTTTGATGTTGCCACTTTCAGTGACGCTGTTTTCTCCATTAATTTTCGCCTCCGGGTCTTCAGCGTCTGGGGACACGTCTTGATCAGGATCATCCTCTCCAAATAACTGGCTGTTGAATGAAGATTTCCAGTTTAGAGAGTATAAAGCCGAGATTTGAACAACTCACTTGAATAAATGCTTGGACCATACAATGCAATGAACTGGCTCTGATGGGGTGTTTCGAATTGTGCATCCCGGGAATGTCTTTTGTGGAGGTTTGGGCTGGCACTCATAACATTGAGTTGCTCCTATATAAAGATATAGAAATATCTAGCTAAGGTATAGAAATAGCTGAAAAAACGTACCTTTTTTAATCAGTTCAACTTGCCCTGAATATCCGGAGGTCCCAGACTCAATTAAGGGAATATCAGCAGCTAGACACATCCTGTTTACATGATTTCTGGCCGTTCTATTGTCCAGTGCATTCAAAACCAGGTTGAATCTTTTGAAGAAGTTCAGCCCATAATCTGAACTGCAATTTTATAGGGAAATTAGTTAAAATTTACCAAGAGTAATTATGATCATTCATACCTTAAAATACTGTCATGGTAAGCCTTAATTTTCACATTAGGATTGTGGGCTAAAATGCTTTCGCGAGCCACCACAGCTTTTGGTTTACCCACATGCTCCTTTCTGAAGAGAAACTGGCGATTTAGGTTGCTGACATCAATCGTGTCTAAATCAATCTGTAAAGGTAAGAATTGATCAGGAAGACTTGTTGCGATTTGTATACAACTTTCAGGCGTTTTAGCTTCAAATGTTTTCTATATGATGTGAAAGTTTGAAGTTTTTAATGAAAATGGTGCGATTGTTTAACAAAATTCATTTCAAATCCAATATTAGCAGTCGGGAAAGATCAGAAATTCGTGCGATTTAAATTAACTTTTTAGGGATTTAAAGTTCAAGTCTTTACTTTAGACTGAAAATTTCAAGGCGCTTGTTAAGCTAGATTGGAAGTTTTTCAATCAGTTGAAGTTATGTGGAAAGGTTCATTTTTGAGGCAACATTTACTAATAACTGTCAGGATTTTGGGGCGATCTGCACGAAATTTTCAAGGGCTTCATGTTCAAGTATCTTCTATGGAGTACGAAAGTTTCAAGCTGCTACTTGGGCTGAGTTGGAAATTGGTAATTTTTGGGGAAATGGTGCAGTTTTCGAGAAAAAATCAGTCAGGAAAACTCTCAAGTTTCTGTGCGACTTTAACAACATTTCCAGCCATTTCTGGTTCTAGTCATAGATAAAGACAAGTGGTTCTAGTGTCTACGGACTGTAAATGTTTCAAGCTGCAACTTGCTTTAGGTATGAAGTTAGCGAAATTTTTAAGCAGTGCGAAAACAAGTAGAATGTCCGTTAGCAATGCTTTTTCTATACTTACAATTTCTATATCCCGGAACCCAGACAAAGCCAGATTCTTCAAAACTTCACAACCAATGCCACCGGCACCAACCAGTAGAACTTTGGATTTGGGGATCAAATCGCGAGCTCTCGCATCAATGGAATAAGGTACCGAATGAGCAACTGCTGCCATTATCAAACTGGTCTCGAAAAGCGGCTTGATATGTTTAAAAACAGTGAAAATCAATTGGTTTGTTGTTGTTTTTGCAAAACGAACTAGAAATCACATACATGCAACAACCAGAATCAATGACACAAGCTGTCAACGACCTGTCAACCACAGATCACCGAGCTGTGATCAGTGCTGTCAACTAAACTCTCAGATATCGCAGACTTGTGTGACGTTGTCAATTGACCACTTTTGAAATTTTGCGAGACCGTTTCAGAGCTTTTTTGTGACGGGTAGTGTGTCTCTGTCTTACTCGCGCGATTTTGGTTGCCTGACAGAAAACAGAACGCTTTTTATAAAATATTTTTCAAGCAAAATTGTATGGATTTAGTTTAGTTTTAAGTTGTTAATTTTTTTTAGCTAAAAACGGTACAAGAAAAAAATTGCATCGTTCATTTTTACTGATGAGATTCTTCTTGACGGATTGTTCCAGAGAAGAAAGTGCGTCCAGTCTCTTTTGTCCTTGTCTTTTATCAGAGCCGTTTTAGCGCGCTTTGTTGAGAAAGCAAAGGATGAGTAACTGCGAGTTGCGTGTGCTAAACAAAGACAACAATCATAGTCGGTTAAATAAACCGACAGTTGACAGCTACTTCATCTACAAAGTTGTGATTCTTGAAAAACTTAGGTTTCACAAAAAAAATTCGCAATTTTTCTTATTTTTCTTGGAAAACCTTCAAGTTTTTACAGTTGGGAGTGTTTTTTAAGTACCATCAAGTTAGCGCATTACAGGTACAATCCATACAAGCTTTTATTGAATCGTATTTGGCTTAAAAATGAAATGAGGGATGTGGGTTAGTGCAGTGATTGTGTTGATTAATTTTGATCAACATGCAGTTTGAGTTCGACCTCAAAATTCCATTGCGGATTGTTACACTTACAGCTTGATTTACTTCTATTTTACAGTGCCGTTGTTATTGCCCCTCAGTTGAATAGTCGGTATTTCAGTCTGCATTTAGCATCTGGTTTCAAATTTTCATAAACTTTGCAAAACAACCACCTTGTTTGCAGGACAAATTTGTCTCCAATCTGTACAATTTTTACAGTTTCTTAAATATGTAGTTCGAAAAGGCTTATATAATTGGACATGCCAAAAGGTCGAAAAAGTCCGGTCATTTACACAAATGACTACAAACATCCTTCTGAAGGCGCTAACGATGTGTGCTAGCGAAACATCAGATCGAAATTCCGATCGGCGACGGCCTAATAACCCGGAAAAGGCGATTGTTCAAAAATAGATCGGTCAGTTTAGATTGCTTCTTTAATGTTTAAAGTGTTTACAGTTAAATAATGAAATTGTTATCAGTTGCACATTAAAATGAATAGTCTAAGCCCGCAAAATCTTTCTCCTTAAATGCTGACCCATTGTCAATAGTGAAAGTCTTCAAGAACGTAAATCGAAGTTGTTTTTTATGAACCTGTAATTCGGGCCGTTAAACTGCACAATCTGGTCAACATAATCGCCCTTTTTAGTTCGCCACTGTTATTTCAGGACATTGCTTGTGATTTGGATGATTTCTTAGCAGATATGGCGCATTCACTGTCTCTAGACGAAGTAAAAAATGAGATTCGCAGCTGTATCATATCGTCAAAGGCCATGCTCACTTTGAAGCAACTCAGTAGTGATTACATGATGCTGGTGGGCGATCCCATTCCATTCAAAAACTTGGGATTTCAAAGTCTTGAAGGTTTAATCAAATCGTTCCCTGATCTCGACTTAAAGAAACAGGGAAACGTGACCTATGCTGTGGCTAAGCAGTCTGAAAAATCCGCTCATATATCTGAACTAATTTCCAACCAGAAATCGCCCAAAAAACGGCCGTAAGTTAAATTTGATTTTTTATTCGCAGATTTGTACATTTACAGTTTAATTAGGAAATTTGGGCGGTTTCATCACAGCTTTCCTCCTTCGCGATCTCATCAAACTAACGGATGGCGGCCGAAAACCAAATATCAATCGAACAAGAACCACAATCCGAGCGGGGCCAGAGCTAAGAATCACGCGCAATTTGTCAGTCGAAGCCAGCCAACTGTAGCATCCAAAGTAAGAGTAATTATTTGCCGTTTTGAAGTCTTAAACAACCGCTTTAATTATTTCCTAAAGTGAAAGTTGCTGTTGCAAAGGTTTTCTGTTACATTGTTCGGCCAGCAGTTATTGCACTTTTGCCATCGTATACCATTTTTAGGTTGTCATTCCACAACATTCCAGTTTACCAAAGCAAATTCTTCGAGTGGAAGATGAACCAGCAACGAAAGGCGAATTGAACCAAAGAACAAACAACAAGCGATTGCAGGAGAACATTAAAGCTTTAAGTAACAGTGGTGGAAAAGAATACATGTCTAAACATCGGAACACAGTTTTGTAAGTGTTACAACCCAGTTTTTATTAGAAACCCCATTTGATGTAATGGGAAAAGTATGAAGTTGCCGCGGTTTGCAACTTTGCCATGTTAATTTTTTTAACTTATCTAATAAAGGCAGAAAAACTTTCTTGCTTTTGGGCCCAATATAATGTATAATAAACGCTTTTCCAGTACTACAAATACTAACATCAACAACAATGATGGTGCATTGCAATCGACCCAGATAGACAGTGGAGCTTCTTCAAAGCTCCTTCTTTCCACTAAGATGCGACTGAGCAGGAAAATGTCCGAATTGAGTCTAGACAGGTACATGATTATTTACAGTCAGCCGGAAACTGTCGGCTCATTTAACAAGGGTTGTTGTACTTGTAGCGATAGTGGTAACAGTAGTCCCACTAACGAGTCCATATCCCCAATTTTAAGTAAAACTGCCGAATTTAGTCGAACAAATGATCCCCTGAAGGATTTAAAGAAGTTTGTGGCAATTCACAAATTGGGTGATGTGGCCGTGAGCACAACACTGATGGATCCAAAGAGGAAGAAATTCTACTCCTGCAAAATTAAGGTACATTTGAGAAGCAAGTGAAAGGCCCCAAGTTTTATAGATATTTTTTCCGTAGGTTGGTTCAGAGCATACGTATTGCAGTTATCCTAAGGAGTTTAAATCCGCATTGGAAGCACAGTCGTTCTGCTGTGAGGAGGCTCTGGCCGACCTGATACCAAAATGCGAAATAAAGGCTTCGCTAATTTCCACTGAGCAGGACTTGCTTATCAGGTGTGTATTCGGACCGGTTTTGGATTTAGCCCCTATTGTTTGTGTGTGTGCTTGCAGGATTCCCCCGATGCTGGAGAAGCATGCAAACGGCATTTGGGCGAAGCAATTGACTCTCGATTACTCAGACAAGTACGGCGAGATGCTCCCGCATGACTGGCTGAGCATAATTGATAAAAGTAACAACGTCCACATTGAAAAAACCGCAAAAGATCACATTCTGTATCATTGCAAACTTGGTGATGTAAGCGTGAACATTGTTTTTTTATTTTTTCTGATTTAATTCAGGTTTTGTCTTGAACTGGTTTTTTTCTCAGCGTGCTTTCTCACTTGGGTTCTATGATTGAGCAACTATTTGCATGTTTGGGTTGGGCATAAGGGTTGATTTGTGATTTGGATCAAGTACATAATTAGTGCTTTGCCTTCAGATTTTAACAGTTTGCTAATATTTTAATATTTTCATTTAACAGCCTAACAGTGTTGTGATAGCTGAGGTGAGTGCTCGATGCCCCTTTCAATATAATATCGTTTTTTGCATCGGCTTTTCACTATAACAACGATTCAAATGGATAAAGTTATTAGTTTTCAAACAAGTAAACTTTGAATTTCGGCCTTAGGAATTCTTAAAATAAATCCGAAATAGTTATTACTTGAAACTGGTGGGTTTTGCGGGAAGTTTGTGTAAAAAGCTATGTAGTAAACAATAATTTTCCTGCTATTTAACAGTTCCATGGCTTGGGTGGAATGGACAGCGTGTGGGCATGCTTTGAGATAACATTTTCTTCTTGCTAAATTTCAAGGTCTTACAGAAAGGACAGCAACGAATAGGTGGCAGTCGTATGCCGTTGTCCAATGTGTCTGTGCCAGCCAATACGGTTCAGTTTCGCGAAGATGGCAAGCTAACGTGTCAAATCACTTATGTGGTTTCGGCCAATGAGATTTGGTGTGAACAAATCTATACAGAAGAAAACGTAAGAGATAATAGTGATAATAAGATTTTTGATGCTTTATGGAGGTTTTTTGTAGACCCGGTTCAGTGAAATGGTAGACAGAATGAAGATTTACTATGAAGAGCACGAGGCGCAGCTAATCCCGCAAGAAATTGTCCTGGCTGGATACTACATAGCGAAATATGAGCAAGAGTACTACAGGTGAGAACTAATCAAAAGTTCGCTAAAGTTGCATAACGCACCGCACCTTTTAGAGTACGTGTGGAAAAAATTGATCAACGAGGCATCGTTTGCTTTTTCATCGATACTGGCGATGAACTAGTAGTTCCTAAATCTAATATATTTGTGTTAGAACGGGTCTACGCTACTTCCCAGGCTCAGGTATATGCGAAATTTATCGCAATCCTCTCAAATCATTCAACGAATTCGGGTTTTAGGCCTTTTTATGCAGGCTGTCTGGTTTGGAAGATCTTTATGATGTCTCCACTAACTCTGAGCATCTTGCTGCTCTGCTCGATCGAGTTGTTATCTTAGAACTCGCCATTGATATTTCAGGTAAGGGAAAGCCAGAATCGTGAAGTTTTTGTCTATTTAATCGAATTATATGCATTAGGCGATGAGAATACTGCCATTTTGCCGGTCTATATGTATGACTTTGAAACGGGATCTTCCATCAACGAAGACTTGATCTCGCAACTCACCGTGGAACTTGCCGCTCCGATTTTGAAACCGGTAATACTCGATTCAGATGAGTAAGATTCGGAGAGAAATTTGATTATTTTCAGGACCGATCAACCGAAGTGTATATTTCCCACATAGAATCAAATGGGGACATTTACGTTCACGTGAAGACTAAAGGTTTCGATAACCTACAGTCTCTGCGGGTAGAATTGCAGATGCAAGTCAATGAAAAACCTCTCGACTACCTTCTATACACGGTGACCAAAGTGAATAGTGAAGGCCAATTATATTTTATGAAGGACAAGTTAACTGGGTAAGAAAGCATTTTTGTGCTCCGCTCCGAAACCATTCTACTAGTTGTTTTTAGCAATTGGGAGCGAACTAAGTTAATTGATTGGGCACCGACTGGGGATTATGCGCAAGTATATTTCGTAGACAAGGGTTACACTGATGTGATAAAAGTGGCAGATGAAACGCTCTATCCTTTGGATAGTGTAAACGAGGTGTTTAATACGTACCCCTCGCAAGCAGTTCGGGTAAGCAGTTCAACTAAACCTTGTGCTTTTTAATCAGTTTTTATAAATTGTATCTTGCGATGCTTTAGGTGCGGATGGCATTAGATGCAATTCCACCCAATTTTCTCGACTTGGCGACTGCAGCCTTGCCTAAAGAAACCCCCGTGCTACTGAAAATTGTAGAAATGGGCGCAGAAAACATTCCCACCGTGAAGTTATTCAGGCGAAACGCCGATGGTCTGTTCTGCATCAACGAGTCTATAGCTATGCAGACTGAGTTAAGGTGAATTTTATTTGCGGGTATAGTGGAACATACTTATGGTAAATTCGGTAATTTTCAGCAAGGAAGAGACACTGAAAAATAAATTCAAGCTTCTAGCAGTTTCAGGTACATTGGCGTATGGCGGTCAAGAAAGGTTTTTTAAATTGATCACTTTCAGGCATTCCATCTACTGGAACATTAAAATGTCCTCCTCTTCCTAAAGCGGGCCCTGGTAGGTTTGTGTTCTTGTTGGTAAATGAAATATCTTCAGCATTGTTTGTTAGGGAGCCGGCCGATTGAGGTGTTTGTCCCAATGGCCGTGAGTCCGTACAACTTTATCGTTCAGCCTTGCAGCTCGTATAAACAGCTACATGAGATGATGGATAAGTTGCAATTAGCATATGAGGACGTTCAATATGGGAATCTGAGCATTGATGATATAGTGCCCGGCGGAATTTATGCGTATAAACACACCGACTCGTGTTGGTACAGGTAAGATCGTTTATTGCTTTTAATTTACCGAAGTTCTAAGTAACCAATATACGAGTTTCGATTAGTTGAATTCAGGTAATGAGCACATGTAGCACGCATGTTTAGTAAACTCAATTATGCAATGTGCAAGCATAATATTTAATCTAAAACACGTTTTTTTGTAATTATTGACGAATCAGGCTTAGTGTTATCAAAGTAATCCATACTGGCTCGTCTGTATCTGGATACTTGTGTGATTATGGAAGCTACCAGACGTTGTCAGTCAGGCAACTTGTGACTCTTGATGAAGCCTTCATGGAGTTGCCCTATCAGGCTCTGAGCGCAAAATTAGCAGGTAAGAACTGGCTTTATTGGTCGATTTCTCCTGCATGTTAACAGGACTTTCTAATACTTTGCAAGCTATTTTTCAGGCATAAAACCCAAGCTGGACAAATGGACGATGGTGGATTGTGAGTTTTTCAAGCAGCTCACGGAAATGAAAAGACTCTACGCCGAGCTGATCAGCATCGAACGGGATAGTTTCAGTAGATCGGATATAATCTTAAAAGTGAGCTTGTATGACACAAGCACAGATGACGATATACTCATATCCGATGAGCTGATTAAAAGTGGCATTGCAGTAAAGCACACATAATTCACAACAGTTCAAATTGTTCTTCATATATTTTGAGATTTCTTAGAAGTCTAAGCTTGTGATTTAGCTTGTTTACTCCAAAGCTATAGTATAGTTAAAGTAGAGGCTTCGTTTTCGGGACAAAAGGTAAATGTTAAGTTTGATTTTTTTTCACTGGCGTTTTTAGACTAGTTGGTTGTTTTTTTGGGGGCGTTTACTAAACCGAAAAACATAATTTAAATCGCATGAACAGGTATTTTGAACCAAAAAAAGTAGTTACCTTATATCTCGGAAACAAAGCACTTGCTTATTAAATTGAACAGTATTTTCGAACTCTTTCACCCTTTGGGGCGTGCCACGGTGATTTTGATCGCATCTTTCACTTTGGATGGTTATCATTGCTCAAATATTACTTGTTATAGAGAAACCTAACTATATTAGCAATGTCTTCAATTTCTGCCTTTGTTTTAAACGGCAGACCTGTTATTTGCTTTAAAAATGACAAAAATGTTATGTTAGTTTTTGTATTTGATTTTTTCTACCTATATAAGCATTTTTTGTTGATTTATTTCACACAGAAGAACTATGTTTAATTGCAAATATACATTGTTTTAAAGCTAGCAACTATAACATAGCTTAATAAGCTTATATTTGTTTACGGCTTATGTTTATACATTGTATGTTTTTTTGGTTACCGTTTCTTTAATAAAGGATATTAGAGTTTTTTTCGTTTTATTAAGTTTTATATTCGTTTCTCTATTTTTTCTCAATCAACGAGACGAGCAGCGACACACGCACAATTTATACCCATTTGGGCGGGATTATGCTGCACGAGTCGAAGCGCATCTTGAGCCTTCACGCATATCAGGTACATCTCAATTTGGCAACATTGCAGGCACAATGTGCGTGTCAAATGTCAATCTAAAACGACGGACTGACTTATCAACGGAGCATTCCTTCTCTTGCAGTTCTTAGTCCAACATGGCCGTAGGAAAAAATAAGGGTCTCTCCAAAGGAGGTAAAAAGGGAGTTAAAAAGAAGGTGTAAGTAGAAATTCTATAGTAAATGTACAGTTTAAATAAGATGGATTAATAGTTTGGTGAATTTTTAAAGAAAAATGCTGCGATTGTCGGGAGTATTGCAGATTATAAACTGCCACCACAGCGGTTTTTGTATTAAGTGTATCCATGTTTATTCTTCCTTGCTGAACACAATTAAAGGAAGCAGTTTGGTCTGCCTGATTTTTATTAAGGCACCAATTTTCGATTAGGCGCAGATTTGCACGTATTTTTATTCAACCATAATAACACATTTCTAGAGTTGACCCCTTCACACGCAAAGAATGGTATGATGTTAAGGCCCCGTCTATGTTCACCAGCCGGCAAGTGGGTAAAACCCTCGTCAACCGTACCCAAGGAACCAAAATCGCTTCCGAAGGTTTAAAGGGTAAGTTCCAAACAAGCCATTTAATTTTCCACTGTTCACGGCATAACTGGTCTTTCAGGTCGTGTCTTTGAAGTCAGTTTAGCAGATTTGCAAAACGATAATGATGCTGAACGGTCTTTCAGAAAATTCAGACTCATTGCCGAAGATGTACAAGGTAAGTCGATGTTTGATGTACTTTGCTAGTTGTGAGCGTGTGCCCCTCAAATTTGATACAAAAATCATCCCATAGGGCGATCGCTTTGATCATTGAGCAACATTCAAGCAATTTAATATGAAACTGTGGACTTGCTCATTCCTCCACGTGGCTGAAGTCTGCTAGTTCCCATCAAAAATTYGGTTTGTTTATAGAGAAGTTCAGTTGTGAATAAAAACTCTTGAACTTGCCGAAATAATCTCATAGCCGTTATGAAAACTCATTAATACTGAATTTTCGCATTCGCACTAACCCAAACATTGGAAGTTTACTTTTCTCTTTCATTTAGACTTTTGGGTTCTGATAGCCTTTGTACCCTTTTCCCAAGAAATGTCTGGAACACGTTTTCACATTTTTTAAAGTTCTTTTCTAAAGTTTTTAAAGAGTCACCTGGTGAAAATTTCATAGTAGTTACGAGTGTCCATGACTCATGAATTGGTTTAGAGGGTTTTCCAAATTCATCTACGCCTCTCAGTGAATGAATGCAAATCAACATTTYCAAAGTTCTTGACTGGTTTGAATTTGTCTTTAACCATCGAATCCCCTATTTGCAAAATAATTTAAATCAATTTGAACTACTAGGCAAATTTTTAATTTTCAGGTCGTTATGTATTAACAAACTTCCATGGAATGGATTTGACCACCGACAAGCTGAGGTCGATGGTGAAAAAATGGCAGTCCCTCATCGAAGCTTCAGCTGATGTGAAAACCTCAGATGGATATTTGTTGAGAGTTTTCTGCATTGGATTCACCCAAAAAGATACACAGTTTTCGCAGAGGAAAACTTGCTACGCTCAGCATACACAAGTGAGTATTTTTTCATCAAAAAGTCTACTTGGTTTTGAGCATTTCGTGGTACTGACATGATGAGACACTCAGCTCGCTTTGATACACATATGAAGATAATTGAATTGTTCCCTAACGACGCAATATGTTAATCAGTTCTGAATAGTACCTGAAATATGTTGCATAATGGGTGCTTAGTTTGCTATTTGGAAAATTAACAGATCTGGTTTTTTGTTTTAGATCAGGCAAATCCGCAAAAAGATGGTTGAGATAATCACCCGTGACATCCAAGGCTCGGACCTCAAGGAAGTTGTAAACAAATTGTTGCCCGACAGTATCGCCAAGGATATTGAAAAGGCCTGCCAGGGAATTTACCCTCTTCACGATGTCTTCATCCGTAAAGTGAAGGTAAGTAATTTTTTCAGATAATTAATCATCTATAATACACATTCCCATATATTTTTTATAATTTATGTATTATTTGTGCTTATATGATGAGACACTCAGCTCGCTTTGATACAAATATGAAGATAACTTCATTGTTCCCTAACGACGCAAAAAAAATTGCTGACAGGCACAAAACCAGCACCTAAACGTGGATGTGACTATATCAAAATCGCAATTACAGGTTGGGTGATTTTGTTTCAGGTGCTCAAGAAGCCCCGATATGAGCTTTCGAAGCTATTGGAACTTCACGGAGACGCCAAAGGCACTACAGAAGCATCAGGGGATGCTGGAGCGCAGGTGGCGAGACCTGAGGGTTATGAACCTCCAGTTCAAGAGTCCGTCTAATCAGCAGACTCGAATAAATATTTACGATCGTATATAGGTTTTTTTTCTAAACCCGCGTACGTGTTACCTTTGCCGCTTTTACCGGTAAGTGGATTTACATTTTGTGCTGCACTTGCCGTTTAAATGAGAGATCAAGTGGTAAATTGAATTGTATTTTTATTAAATACTGATAGTTAAAAAACATAATCACAGTAAAAGATATACACTACACTCTGAAACATACTGCTCTATCTATATATAGAGCAAAAATTAAGTCTAGTCAATATACAACAGATACAGTGTCTTAAAATAATTCGCAATCTTAGATGTGTTTTCTTTAAACAGACGAGGAAAGATAAAGTTTTATTACGTTCAGCTCAAGAAAAACTATTTTTTGCCAAATCTCGCAATGCAAGGAAAATAAATATATACACAAAAACAAGAATGAAAACAAAGACTAGCTATGAACAGAGGAAAAATAGAGCGATTGGATCGCGGCCTACTTACAAAATATGGCAAACGATTCACAAAACAAACGAAACATGTACACTACAAGAATAGATAAATATGAAAACAAAATAAATAAGTGGAAGTTAACGATATTGCTTCATGCATATATATGACACTCGTCTATTCATTACATTAACTGTATGCTACAAAACCTATTATATTTGTAAAACGCTAAAGTTTTGTTTGGTATATGGCACATGCGGTATTTATGGAATGACGTTAATCACGCATCTATTTCAGCTAAATACTTCTGATGAGTTTTTAGTTGAAACAATACATATACTGTCTAAAACTTCTACAAAAAATTGGTGGTACCAAAAAAGGCACAACATATTATATGTCTTTTCCCTAAGGCACAAAATCTATCTATTGAAAAAGGCCTCTATGTAATACTATTATAAAATCTAAAAAGGAAAGGGGAATTGTCGCTTACAAATACTATCAAGGGCTTGTCTTTATCGGGTTTTTCCATGTACATATACATAAAACTCTAAAAAATTCATCACCTACATATATACTTAAAAAACACAATCTTCGAGCAATCATTTTAGAATCGAACTGTTTAGGCTTATCACATAGTACACACATTACGGTTTCAAAAGAAACTGGTAATAAACTTTACCGAGTCGCTTTATGCTATTTTGGATTACATATTGTATTTGTAGATTTCATGTGTTCGGTTAAATAACGCGTTTTAGAATCCTCCTATATTGACAAGTTCACGCACTACAACAGGAAGGCATTGATACGAATAGAGCCCAATATCAGACTATGAAGGCTTTCACGGCCGGTCAAATCACATATAGAAATGTTTTTAGGGCTTTGAAGCCGTGGTCCATGGGAATTTCTTCCTGACGTTTCGTCCACGACCACGGCTTTAAAGCCCGAAAAACATTTCTATATGTGAGAGCCCAATATATTGCTATTGTTTGAGTTGAGGTAAATTTAATAGTTTTTTTTTGTACAAACCTTATTTTTTCGCAATCTCACTAGAGCTAAAATTTGTACATTCTCGTGTCTCTTTGACTATTTACAATAAACTTACATTCAGTATTATAAATTTTGCATCGATAACATGTATAAACGATTGATTTGTACAAAAAGTTCGTAAAATCTTAAAAAATATATGTAGCAATCATGATATGTTACAAATGTGGGCAAATAATTCTTCTGGGAATTCTTTGCACTCGATTTACCCTTCCATGTGTCGGTACTTGTGGGCGCTCATCTGCGCTAGCCCCAAAACGGCATATTGGCAACTTAAGCAATGGTAGTGCGTTTGTTTGCCGCTATGTTGACAATTTTGCACGCGGCAAATTTGACTGGGGGTGAACTTTTCGAAACCCGCAGCTTGGATGCTATCGAGCTTCTGATGTTGCCGGCGATGAGCCACCACTTTGTTCGTATCAGTGCACACAAATTCACATTTCAAGCAGTGAAAATGTGAGGCTTTATTTTGCGTCGAACCTGTAAAAAACATGTGGATAGTTAGAGATTTTCAGCTTATTGGGCCGACGTCGATAGGAATTTGCTCCTGACGTTTCGGTAGCACGCATGATTAACACCTTCAAAAGTGTGTCGCTTCGGGTGGGAACACACTTGTGACTAGTCTAAAAAAGCTTCAGCTCACAACTGAAAATTTTAAGCGAACAAGTGTGAGCCCCTCAAGCCAATACATATCTGAAGATGGCAACTATGCGTGCTAGTGAAACGTCAGGAGCAAATCTTCGATTGTTCAAATAATGCCCACAGAAGCGTTTAGTATTTTTAGATATGCAGAGTGCACCGCGACATTATTTGGCTCAAAAGGAGGCGATCTGAGCTTATTGACAAAAAATGTCCGGCTCCTCTGCTATTTATTGATGGTCAAAGTTAAAAAAAATTGTATCTATCTATCGTATCAACCGAGTTCATCCGCTTTAGGCAACTGGTGAAATCTTAGTACAAAAATTTGCAGAACTTTTTTCTTGTTAGGTGACATCAATTAGTTTTTCGTTTCGGTTAAACATTCACTGTCCCGATATGTTGTGCTCTTGGTGCAACCTTGTCGCACTCATAATTTTTTGCACAAAAAATAGTTTCTTAACAGAAGTGCATTCACACATTAACTGCAAATTTAGTACGAATAATTTCTTAAGAAGGAAAGAAATTTCTCTCCAGAAAGAAATTATTCTTACTAAATTTGCAGTTAATGTGTGAATGCACTTCTGTTAAGAAATTATTTTTGTGCAAAAAACTATGAAGAACATTAGTTCTTTTGTTATAAATCAATGTTCGCCATTTGAAAGCGTTTTCGTCCGTTTCGCTTTTCTCGGAGTTCGGACGAAATGAGGCGAGCTTTTAGCAAAATATGGCCTGCAAATTCACAGCAAGTTTCATTAAACTCGATCTGAGTACTACAAAAACTTAATTTATGGTTTCTTAATGTAAGAAACTTAATAATGTTTAAAGTTATGTACTGAAGATTTTGAACTGAAAGAGAAATCAGTTAATACCAGAGGCGAAATAATCAATTTCGTGTTCAATAAAGAATAAAATCACAGACGAAATTAGAAGTTTTTGTACGAAGACTATCAATAATTTACCAGTTGCCTAACACGGATGAACTTGGTTTATTTATAAAAATATGAGTCTTACAGGAACTAATTTACAGCGAGTTGCATTAAAATCTATCATATTGTTCCTATATGGCAAAACATAATTTTATGAACAACTTTGACCATCAAAGGATCCGAACATTTTTTCTTAATAGAATAAAAGAAGTTTGCAAATAAACCGCTGCTTTCGCTTTTTGTCCCTGAGCTTTTGAAAAACCCCTTTTTGTGTATGCAACCTTATTCGTGGATTTTTTTAAACAAAACTTAAAACACTGAAGTTTTATATTTTAAGAAAAATATATCCAAAACTCCTTGTTCCATGAACAACCGCATCAACTTACTGAATCGCGCCTGCAGGAATAAAAGAATAGGGTGTTTTCACTTTTTTTTTAATGTTGATAGATAGAAAGTAGTTATGGCAAACATTACACTGACATAATTTTTTTTGCAAAAAAAGTATCCATAATAATTTTAAAGCGAATTTTAATTCAAATAAGATATTTTCCGCCAAAAACGCCGAATCCGTATCGTCGGTTGCCTATCCCGATTCTGACGTAGCAGGTCATATCAACAAAGTGTCTCGTGTTTATTTTGTTGTTTTCGCAACTTTGTTTTATTATTTAAGCTCTTGTGATTGTCATTATTTTATTGATTATTATTATCTTGCATAATGGAAAATTGTGACATTTATGGATCACAAAATAAGTGGTGTTTTGCCAGGATGCAAGAATACCTCAATAAGTGCCCCAAACAAACTCTTTTTAACCGTTTATTTACCTAATTTAAACCAATACAGACAGATTAGTATATTAAGGAGAGAGTAACTAAATGAATTTATGGATTTTTACTTACGCTGCTGCTTTGACACCCTTAAATTCGGCTGAATTAAAGCGTTCGTCGTTTTTTAAAAATTCGGTAACCATAAAAATGTTTGTTGACGCTTTAAGGAAGCCATTTTTTAGTTTAACAGAAACTAACTATTATTTAAAGCCACAAAATAATTAATGAAACACAACTAAACACTATGCACAGAACGTAAACCATCCGCCATTTATATGACCAGAGACGTCACAACCAATAGGATTGCGTTTTAAACATTCATGAATAATTTGAATTTTAGCTGAAGTTGTTTATTAAGTATTTAACAAAATAGCAATATATAGATAGTATAAACTTATTTAATCTTTCATATACATATATATATATATGAAATATATATAGATTAATGTTCAGTTTGTAGGAATTTTTGATACAATGAAAACACCCTATTCTGAGTAAAGCGTGAAACAAACTCTGTTTACCATATTTATACAATAAGAGAGTCAAAATCGCGAGCCAAAAAACGCACGGTTAAACATCATCAACCCCTTGTTAATGAACTAACTGTACTAAAGAAGAATGAATAAAATCTTACCTAAATTAGCTGTATAAGCACAGTCTGGTCGGCCGCAAGCAACGTTAGCCCTGTATTGTTGAAAATCGCCCCCCATAAGAGTGTCCAGCCTTTCATGGCGCGCTGTGTGCTGCACGAATCGCGTCTTATCGCAAAACGAATATCCACAGTCTTGCCGCTGGCAGTGGAAGTGAGTTTGATGTTCTCTATACCCGCAATGTTGATACTTGCAGTCCTAAAAAGCCCCAAACATGTAAACCTCTGCTGCAAGTTGCAGAAAATCCCTTAAAATACCTCATTGAACCGGAATCTTAAGTAACCAGCAGGAACTGGCTCATCCTTTAAAATCCTCATGGAGTTCTGGATGCGGGCCTTTTTCGCCTCGGTGCTCATTTCATGCGGACTCAGCGCTCTTTTATTCAGATTCGCTGCCATTGCGGCCAACGGAGACGTTAAATTCTCCGTCTAAAATCCATCAATTAGCAATTTGTCTCGGGTTGTAATGGTTTTTTCCTTACCTGAAAGTTGTGGGGTTGATGTCCCAACAGAGGACTTTGCATCAGTTGAGCGTGCTGAAACATCAGCTGCGACGGAATGCCTTGTGGATACAAGTTTTGCGGCAGGAAAGCGTTTTGCTGTTGCATCAGTGCGATTTGAGTGGCAAAGTTCGGGGGAAATTGACTAAAGTGACTGTAAGCGTCGAATGTTGGCGTCGAAAAATAGCGCGGTGCTTCCGGCTGTTCGGGCTTTGGAGTAGAAGCTTGCTGGTGCTTTTCGATGGTATTCTGAAATTAAATAAGATATTAATGCTCAATATGTTTATGAGGTGGATTTGGGTTTTCAAAACCTGTTTTTTGGGTACTTCGCCTTTGAAAAAGATAGAATTTTCTAACGTTTTCTATTACATAGAAATTGCATAAAAAGTGAAAGATAAGGAGGGCTCTTGAGTCGCAATAAAAAACGACTTGTTTATCAAATAGTACTAAAGAGCTGACTGTACTTAATTTAGCAATTTTTCCTTGATGTGTCTATAGCAAATCTGATTTCGTTCTCAAACAATACTTAAAAGGAGTATTTTAATAAATTGCTGAAATTGCTAAATCAGTGCAAATTTGCAAAAAATCGTTCTCAGACAGAAAACCCTGATGGTATGGGATCCTGAGAACGATGGCAAACTTGCGATCGATTAAGGTAACTTTTCTAAATTACTTTTTTCACTAAATGATTTTTTTGTCTTACAGCTTGCGGCTAAGTGCTTTGTAGCTCGTAACGCTTGCTTAGCTTTTATTAAAGAATTCGTTCATTATTGTTAAACAAGAGCTCTCTATCAATCTGTAAAAGAAGAAACGCGAAAATTATGTCTATAAAGCACAAAAATTTTGAGGCAAAATACCCAACAAAAAAGTTTCGAAAAAAATAAAATTGTCTCTCAATGAATCCTTTTTTTCCAGAACGAGAACCAACATGCAATTTGCCATGAAAAAAAAAACAGAATAACCAAATTTCTTTGCTTGGGAGCTTGATGCATCGATAGCACGATCAAGGAACCTTGCGGGAAAAAGAAAGGAGATGTTGAACACAGTAAAGAGAAGTAAATTGGAATATAAAGAGAAATGGCACCAACCCCCCAAGGAAAACTGTTAGAAACAACCACAGAACCGCCGTCAAGAACAGCCATTCAAAACTTGCCCTCTTCCTACCTGATTTCCCTGCAAGCTTGATAAGGAGGCGACGCTGATCTTCTGAGTTTCTCCCGCTGAACTTTCCGGAGTACTTCTACGATCCTCTTTTGCATCGCAGTAACTATCCGTGTCCCGATCAGTGTTGCTGCTGTCCATAGCAGCGTGAGGCGACGTGTTGCTACCCTGATGAAAAGCACTGTTGCTGTGTCTAGCGACGTGCGGTAGCAACTTGTCCAGCTCGGAAAACGCCTGATTGCAGGTGTTGCAATGATAGTGCGGTTTCCGCTTCAGCTTGCAGAACGGGCGGCTGCAGGACAGTTCAGTGCCATAAAGCGTGGTTGATGGTGCCGATTGCGGATCAAACGTCTGATCTGAAATCCGAAGAAAATTGAAAACTCAGCGCTATGAATTCGAAATGAACAAGCGACATTGCATGCGTAAATGTAGGGAACAGAGTCGTTTGATGGCCGTGATTAGGGTTATTAAAGCGGTTATTTTTGCTGTTAGATCGTGTTGCGGGAGTTAATCGAGCCTGGTTAGAGACGACAGCATTTCTCCGTTCGTTAGTACTCTTATCGTACCTGTCGATATGACATGATTGGAGGGTGAACATCGCTGATCCACCGAAACGGGTGGTAATGTAGAAATAGGGTAAAAGGTTCCAGAAGCCCTCACCACTAGAAACAACAATTTACACTATACAATAATAATAATAAGTTCGCTCATTTCAAATCATGCAAATATGTACAAAAAGAAACAGGGATAAATTCAGGGCCTGATAAATGGGTCCGCCGTCTTACGAACGGGGGCGGATCCAGCTTTAAAGCTAGAGGGGAGGGGTTATGTAGAAAAAATACAGTCTTATGTTATCTCTGAAATTAGAAAAATTATCGTCGTTTTGTGCAAGGGTGGGGTAAGATTATTGCAAAATTTCATGTTTTCCGTCCCGTTTTGCATGTTTCTCGGAAGCAAAATGAGCAACAACGCTCGCTTTTACATCATTTCAGAGATAATTAATGGCCTTTATTCGAAGTTTCTCAAGGACCATTCGAGTCACAGAATTCGTTTTGGCATCGTTGGATAGAGAATTAAAAAGTCAATTCAGTCGTACCAACGTGAGTGAGGAAATTGGAATAGTTTTGGCCCAGAAAGCGAAATTTGAATATCAGACACTTAGGTGCAAGATTATGCCAAAATTCCATGTTTTCCGTCCTATTTTTGCTCATATCTCGGAGGCAAAATGAGCAAAAACGCTCATTTGTACATCATTCTAGAGAGAAGTAAATGGCCCTTTTAGAAAGTAATCCATCGATAAGGAAATACTGGCAGTTTTCTCAAAAAATGCTTGAATTCAAGAAGTTTTAGGGTTGCGTGTTTTTTTTTGAGTTGCAAAATCCACTTGAACATGACGCTGCTTTTTTCGAAGTTTCTCAAGAACCATTCGAGCCACAGAATACGTTTTGGCATCGTTGGATAGAGAATTGAAAAGTCGATTCAGTTGTAACAACGTTAGTGAGGAAATTCGAGTAGTTTAGACCCAGAAAGCGAAATTTGAATATCAGACACTTAGGTGCAAGATTATGCCAAAATTTCATGTTTTCCGTCACATTTTTGATCATATCTCGGAGGCAAAATGAGCAAGAACGCACATTTGTACATCATTCTAGACAGAAATAAATGGCCTTTTAAGAAAGTGAACCATGGATGGGGAAATGTTGGCAGTTTTTTCACAAAATTCAGGAACTTTTAGATTTGCGTGGTTTTTTTGTGAGTTGCAAAATCCACTTGAACATGACGCTGCTTTTTTCGAATTTTCTCAAGAACCATTTGAGCCACAGAATTCGTTTTGGGATCGTTGGATCGAGAATTGAAAAGTCGATTCAGTCGTAACAACGTGAGTGAGGAAATTCGAGTAGTTTTGACCCAGAAAGCGAAATTTGAATATCAGACATTTACGAGCAAGATTATGCCAGAATTCCATGTTTTTCGTCCCGTTTTTTGCACCGCACATTTGTACATCATTCTAGACAGAAATAAATGGCCTTTTAAGAAAGTGAACCATGGATGGGGAAATGTTGGCAGTTCTCTCAAAAAAGGCTTGAATTCAGGAAGTTTTAGATTTGCGTGGTTTTTTTTTGTGAGTTGCAAAATCCACTTGAACATGACGCTGCTTTTTTCGAAGTTTCTCAAGGACCATTCGAGCCACAGAACTCGTTTTGGCATCGTTGGATAGAGAATTAAATGGGGGGGCGTCATGACCCCCATGACCCCCCCTGGATCCGCCCTTGACGAATTGACAGATTTCCAACCAATAGAAACACTTTCGTACCATCGTATTATCGTACAAACGGATGGATGGGACACGGGCTTTAGTCTTGCTAAACGAAACTCTTGGTCATCGACTAAGTCCATGCTCCTAAGATTAAAGTGTCCTATTGATTACGTTCTTTTGGACGATTTACATCTATAATATTTACTTTGAAAAGGATTTTTCTTGACGCCAAGAAAAATTGAACGAGAAAAAACACTCTTCATTTATAATATCTACATTCTTTATTTCGACTTACCGGAAACTTTGTTGGTGTCCGCATTTGGCTGGCTCAAATTGACCGCCGCCTCGCTTTCCACATGCGCCTTCTCATCCTCGCACTTTTCCACCAACAGCTCCTCGCTTTTCACCCGGATGCCGGAAAAATTCGCCGAAGTGTCGTGCTTTTGACTGTGGATGGCCATCTGGGAGTACTGGACGAAACTGTAGTTGCAATTCGACCGAACGCAATGGAAGTGCCTGAGAAAAACAATTTCAAACTGAATAACTGCAACTGAATTAATTTCCCACTCGCTCACCTGTTGGTTTTATTCGACGCGCACCCCTGCAGACGACAGTCCACCATTCGGTCGTAGAACTGGAAGCCATCCAGGATTTCGATGTTTTCGTGAAAGTCCTTCGCATGGCTCAGAAGGAAGTCCATCTGGTCGGTCGCGTACAAGCATCGCTTGCGGTTGCAGTGGAAATGCGAGGCTCCCAAATAGGGGCAGAGCGTGTCGGGGCATTTGATATTCTCCCCGTAGCTGTCGAACGACTGTAAAGTGGAGGCGTATTCTGCCATGTTGGAGGCGGCAGATTGTCCAACAGAAAACGGAAAAGTTGGGCTTCGGGCATTGAAACGACTCGCGCTGAAACAGTCTTCAAGGAAACTGACTCCAAGACATTGGCTGGGCGACTACTCACCGATCGTCTTCTTCCTCTGGGACCTCAACGTCTTTAGTACTGGGCGTGGTGGACGGTTTGGGCAACTTGAAACTGGTGAAAATCGCCTGCGGACTGTCCATCAGGCTCTGGGGCGCTCCCGATGGATTGTAATCATTCCACACTTCGATCACGCGGTTTTTTGGTGGACGGCCGCGTTTTCTAAGAATCAGAGGTTTGCCTATTGACTAACCCCCTTAACAACCAAGACAAATTCTCACCTGCAAAACATCCCGTCAATACTGGTGGTTAGATGAGTGGCTGTTAGCGGGTCTTTGGTCAAACTCAACTTCTGGCTGTATTGATGCATTTTGTAGTGTTCCAGCCGTCGGAACGGCTTGTCCGAAGACAGCACCACTTCGCGGCAACTCTCCAGATTGCAATGATAGTGTTTCTCCTTGTTTTGGTAGACACAAGCCTGGTCCTCGCATGGCTCATTCAGTTCAGAGATCGAAAAGAAGTTGTCTGGAAAACACAAAAACTCGCCGTTAATCAGGAAATTCATTCAGTTCCCCCCGCTGTGCTTACCAGTGATTATTTCCTGCTGCTCGTGGTTCCTCGAGTGCTCCTTGGTGGAGTCCTTGCTGGTTAGGATCAGCTCGCAGTTATCCTGGATGCAGTGGAAGTGCTCCTGAAAGTTGTAGTCGCAGTTTTGCTTGAAGTTGCACTGCTGGCCCTCGTTGACAATTTGGCAATATTTCCTCCAAAAGTCCTCTGAAGTGAACGTGTCTTCCTGGGCAGCGAAATTTGAGGCCTCACTAGCACTCAAGTCCATTGCCAAGGCGCCTGAAAATTCGCTTTGCTTAGCAGATGCATCCGCGTGTTCCTGAAGGAAAATACCTTCGGATTCGTCATTGTAGCTCGAAGGAGAGTTGCGGTCGCTTAAACTCTCCGTGTTGGAGATATTGGACATGTTCGACATGGAGTTTTGCTGATTGTAGAAATTCGCCATGTCGATTTGGGCCTCGTAGTCTCTGGCCAGTGGATTGAAGGAACTCATGTGAGCGGCCGGCGTTGTGGCAAGGCCTCCCTCGGCCAAAGTCTTCATCATGCTCTGAGCCAGTTTGTATTTCCTAAAAAACCGTCCAAAGTCCAGCAAGTTTTATATATTTCCAGTAGATCGCACCCACCTATACGCCAGCTCGCTATCCTTCCTCTCATGCTTCCGCTTATGGGAGAAAAGCTGCCCCGAACTGTGCAACACATACGAGCATTGCGGCCGGATGCAATGGATGTGATTACACACTTTAGAAAAGCGGCAATTCTCGAACGGGCAAATTTCGTTTTTCATGAATTTCTTAAACCCATCCCTGGACAGTTGCTCGTCTTTGATATGATAGGACTTGTGTTTTTCTACGGAATTGGAAATTTTGTAGGGCCAGTTTGGGGGCAAAACCACCATCAACTCACCCATATCGGACTTGTTTTTGAAGGTGAATCGACATCCGGTTCTTCTGCAATGGAAGTGGGTGGTTCTCTGACCGAAGAATGCACAGTACGAAGCTCCACATTCTTCGGTAGCTCTATATCTGATGGACGAAAAGTGTTTTTCAACGAACAGCTTTCGGATTAAAACTATATAAGATTTGAGGCATTTTAAGCGGGTTCAGTGCTTATACTTTGTATGTTTTTGGCTTAAATCTCCATAACGAAATTCGTTATTGTTGCAGTTCTGTGCAATTTATACTCGATCATCATTAGGAAAATTAAATCACTCCTTAATACTTAAATAAAATAATAATTAAAGTTTTGTGATAATCTTTACATTCCAAGGAAATCAAGTGAATTGCAATGCGGTTGCTGATTGTTTAGTAAATCCGTATTCAATAAAAATATTTGTCCTCGAAAACCGTCCGGTTTATCGATATGAATCAGGTAGAGTGCATTTTTTTAGTTTGAGGTTAAAGCTACCTAAATACATTATTTTCGTGTCTTCACTGTACAGGGTAAAAAAATACTATTATTGTGCTCCACCTAGTCCATCCCTGTTGACCAACTTTTTTTGTTTTTTTTAACGTCCCCTGTACAAATCCGAGAGCATGCCCACATATTCTGGGACACCCTGTATGTCCTGTATGTATATCTGTTACACCTCTTTAATTATGGTGGAAAAGTGAAAGTTTTTGGAATCATATAAAACATCTGATAAATTTTTAGAACAATAATAGTCAATTTTAGAACTAACTGGGACTCTTTTTAAGGATAAAAACTGTTTAGAGACTGACGGACTAGGCCTGGGTAACACTATATTGAGTTGCGCTTTTGAGTTGTTGCCGCTCTCTGAGTTAATGAGCTATAACTCATCGGAGAATGAGTCATAACTCATTTATTAAAGCAGATTAACGCTGTACGAAACCCTAGACTGGAATTTTAACATTCGGAGTATCGTTTTTCCAGCAACAGAACTGAGTTACTGAGTACCAAGCCATTTGAACCGCATTGTTCCAACACCCGAGTTATACACTGAGTTACCTTTTCTGTAAAAACGATTGCTTAAAATTGTGGTTTTTCTGGTTTTTTGTATAAAAGAGAAAAACCGGAAATTTTGAAGAACTTTAAAAATCTTCAGAGCGATGAGGTTTTCAATGAGTTCCAAATAGTTGATCGTATGCCTTTGCTTTCTCTCTCTCTGATCGTTTTTTTTTTAAACAAAAAAAAACAGAACTTTAGATTTTGTCCCAAATTCAAAGGTAAAACGGGTATTCGAAAAAGACACCAAATGAAGGAAAAGAAGACTTCGATTCAAAAATCTTCAGTTTGCCACAGTTCAGAAAGAGTTTTGTTTAGAAATATTGACCCAAAAGTGAAGAAACCAGAATTAAAGATAACTAAATTATTCACAGCCATTCGAAGTTGGCGAATTTTCCAAATAATTGATTAAAAGTTTCGAAAAATATTTTTACCAAAAAAACCAGAAAAAATGATTAAGGTTTTGTCCAAAATTTGAAGATAGAAAAGTAGTTAAAAAATCTTCGCCAAGCGGGTAAGGAGGGGCTTGTTCCAATAGAATGTATTTGATAATTTTTCACAGAAAATACCTGAATATTGTCAGTGTTTGCTTGTTGAGCAAGAAAAACTTTGCTAAAACTGGAAAAACTTGAAATTCAAAATAAACTTTAACATTCTTGGTTTCGACGAGCGTAGCGAATTTTCCAAATTAATTTTTGTAAACTTTTGCTCTCTGGTCGTTTTTTCAAGATAATCTTAATTACTTTCAGATTTTTTTTCACGTTTTGTATCAAATTTGAAGCTCTAAAGGGTTTTCTAAAATCTCCTGCATAGCGATGCATGAGGCCAATTTTCCAACAAAATTAAGTCGTTTTTGGCCGAAAAGACCCCATGGTTGTCGGAAAAGAAGAAAAGCTTCAGAATTTTTTTTCAGAAAACCTTAGTAAGTTTCCGGAAAAAATGGGAAAACTTATTTTCGTTTTTGTCCCGAATTCAATGCTGAAAAAGGTTTTTGTAAAATTCCTTCAGCTATAAATTCATCTTGTAATTTTTCGCGTAAAATACGTCCAGAGTGTCAGTATTTTTAAGTAAAACTCAAAATAGAGCGTTTTTAAGTATAAAGTAAAGTAAAAAACAAATTCAATCAAAACTGAAAATCCACAGTTTTTAAACCAACTCTACAGTCTTCAGAGGGATGGGGTGATGAGTTTTTATAAACTTTCTGTTATATTCTGTATGTCTTGATTCTGTTCGCTTTTTAATAAAAAAATTAGTTGATTTTTGTCCTAAATTTGCAGCTGGAAAATGATTTCAATACTTTGTCCGAAACCACGAAGGAGTCGAGTGATGTAATTAAATTTATTTTAAAATTTTTCGCGGCAAATATTCTTAGATTGTCAGTATCTTTACGTGAATCATTAGAAAATTGAGCGATTAGAAGAAACAGTAACTTTGCTAAAACTGGAAAATTCTAAAATTTCGAAAAAACTGAAAATATTGTTAATAAATTGCCCTTAATATAAATCGAAGAACAATTTAACAAAAAAAATCAATTTTTTGACAGCAATGAAACTGAGTTACTGCGCCAAAGTTGGCGCACAAAACAAGTTGCGCAGCACTGCGCCAAGTCCAAAAAATTTACTGAGTTACCCGATGGACACTCGTGATGAGCAAAGGAAAACGGTTCAATTTTCTTGTCACATTTAAGGACTACGAGTACAGAGTTAGTCAGGTTCAAATCGCATTATCTTTTGCAAGATATGAGAATCTCGTCCCAAACCCGCTATCCAAACTAGGGCTCGGAATTTTTTAAAATCTGATATTGGAATATTCATTTAGTGGTTTATTCGAATAGTAAAATTATTCGAATACTCGAATTTCTAACGAATATTCGAATAATCGAGTATTCGAATATTCAAGTATTCGAATATTCGAGTATTTCTATTCGTATTCGTTAGATATTCGAGTGTTCATTTTCCGTTCACCGTTTTCCAAGAAGAAAAATCGTTATTTCATATCATTTTTGGCAACTAGCCGCAACGGATAAAAAACTGCCTTTGTCGGCACTAAGTGCACATAAAGATATTTGCACCTTGTGAGTTTGATAATGTTGGAGTATTCGATTATTCGAGTATTCAAGTATTCGAATATTCGGATATTCGAGTTATGACTACACATAATTATTCGCTTTTCGAATATTCGAATATTCGAATACTCGAATTATTTGAGTTTGATTCCGAGCCCTAATCCAAACATCCTTATTGTAGAGCTCAATGTTCGCTTTTTCACCCAATTTGCATATACACAGAGTCTGAAATTTGACATACCTTTGAAATCCTTCTTGCATAATAGCGCTGTCCTTGCGATGATAGTTGCTGTGCATCTGCACATCACTGGTCGATATGTATACTTTATCACAGTTTTCCTGAATGCAGTGATAGTGCGTTTGCTTCTTGTTGTGTGTGCAGTTCGAAAATTTGTCGCTACAATCGTCCAGCGGGCTGTAGCGCATGAAACCGTGCTGCAACGATTCATCGCGCTTCTTGTGCCACTTGAAATGCCGGATCATCTCCTCCTTCTTGATGAAGACCCGGGAGTTGCAGTCGAGACAGTGGAAATGTTCTCTGAAACGGAGTTTTTGATTATTTGAAAATATTCGACTAGAACTACACCATTCACCTGTAGTTGAGATCTTTGCAATACGTGCTGCCACATTCGACGCTGGAGGCGAATTTTTTTACGTACTTCGAATAGTCCACTTGCGAAGACTTGTTGATGAGCATCCCGGATGAGGACAGACTGTCGCGCGGCTGCAACGACGTGGACATCGACTGCTGCATCATCGCTGAAAAAAAAACCATCAGCTCATTTCGTTTATTCCAGAATAAAAAGGAAATCTTCCACTAAAAACTCACAACCCGTATACATATAGATACAAAACCGATGAACGTGAAGAGAAAGAAAACTCCACCGAAACCGAATGCTGGTGCCCCCATAATATATGATTCAACCTCTTAATACTTTAAAAAAGGGTGCGTCAAATTTGAAGGGTTAAAATTTGATAGTCTGTGTTTTTAATAATGCTGAGGGTGCGCGTGTATGGACCAAATACTAATTTTAGATTTCGCTGAAAGCTTATTCCACGTTCAAGCGGCTACGCTGAGTGAATCCGAAAAAGGATGATGATTTTCTGCACTATTGCCCCATTGTCATAATATTTTTGGAATACGATACAGATGGCCATGTTTCACTACCACTGGGCCGCCGTTTTGAGCGCAATTGGCTTAATGGGGCCCCGCAAGGGACTCACATTTTTATATAAATCGAATTGTCTCTTTGCCGCCATTCAGTTCGAGTGCACGGAAAAATCGAATTTACTTACGTTAACAAAGACACTGCTTCTAATTTGCGCAAATCCCCTGTATTACACATGACAATTAAATGTTTAAAGTAACAATGTTTCTTTCATAGGGTGCGTTTGCCCCTAAGAAACTTTTTTGCCTCCGAGTGTAGCGACATTTGGAATGATTCCTTTTCTTCCTCTATCAATGCAGGTCAAAAATTTATATTTGAGTGAAACGCCTCAGGCTCACCTCCGGTTCTTCAGATATCGACTGTAAAAGCGATTTTCACGCGCTAAGATTCTCCGGTGTCATTTCTAATTTATCAAGATAATAAAAAACCAGCACTTAGCTAGTAATTAGATGCAAACATAATAAATAACTTGAACAGCACGTAAAAAAACTGTTATTTTCAGTTGTTGTAGAATGTATGGCACAACAGTTTCCAGGCCACCGTGTATAAAACAAAGGAAAACGTCTACTAATCAAGCTGTAAAATATGTGTAAATTTTTTTTATTATCAGCATTCATTAAATTTCAATAATCGCCAATCAAAATCACATAAATTTATAATAATGTAACACTTCGTAGGCCTGAAAGACCAGTTTTTTAGAGCGACAGCTTGTGGAGTTTTTCACTTGTAATGCCTTATAACGTAGTCTTTTATGGTCACTAGAGGCTTTTCTCACATGCTGAATGTGTGGCATTTATGTTGCCAGAACCCATAATATAACAATACGGTTATGATCAAAATGGATTGCTATTTCGCATTGAAACGCACGACAATATTTAAGAAATACTTTTAGACTTTCAATCGCTTTCAATTTTTCTGTCCAAGTTTACTTGAAAATATTTTGTATTTGCTCTAAAATGCACTTTGCTTTCTATTTATATTTAATCCAAATCCCAATTTTTGCTTATTATGTTGGCGCTTATTTTTATTCATAAAATGTATTAAACAACTAATTGAAAATTGTCATGTTTTTGCTAAGGCAATTTTGGGGGCTAAAGTAAACTGCCTCCTAAATTGCGCTGTTAACGAAAGTTTAAAAATTTTCACAAACAAATTTTGGATTCAAATTTTTTATTGAAATAATCCTTTTTACTTAATCAGCGCCGTCTCTGTAGTTAAACAAAAATAACTTTACTTAAAAACGTGATGCATTCAGCACGTCAAGGTTCACAGTTTGACGGAGTTTTTAATGTTAATATTCGAAAATTGCGCATTTTATTCAAAAAAAGCCTACAAAGTTCTAAAAAATTTCAATATTATTTTGAGAATAAGTACACTCAATCGGATTCATTGGCTTCTTATGGCGCAAGTTTTCAATCGAACTTCAATAGACATGGATTGATTTGAACCATGGGCAATAATGGATTGATTAAGTATTTCCAGGCTTCAATTTAGTTTTCATTATAATTTTTGTCGTTAGTTTTGGCGGGGCAAAATAGCACAAAAAATAACTTAATTCAACAGAAATTCCTGGGTTCCAGTCAATTTTATTGTTTACCATTTAAAATATTACAAAAACGTTTCGGTATTTTTCTCCTCCATCATCAGTTTGTATGTATGGTTGTTTCTACCTTCACATTTGGCCATTGAAAAAAAAAGTTTTATTTTTTATTTTTTTGAAGGTAGAAACAACCATACATACAAACTGATGATGGTGGAGAAAAACACCGAAAGGTTTTTGTAATATTTTAAATGGTAAACAATAAAATTGACTGTAACCCAGGAATTTCTTTTGAAATAAGTTGAAATACAGTCAGCAAAATACACACAAAAATTAACGGTTAAAAAAACATAATTAACATAAAATTGAGGCCTGAAATGTTTTAATCAAGCCATTTTGTTCACCGCCATTATGCATCATCATACTAAATCTTTCATGTCGAATTGGTTCGACAAAATTGTTTCAATGTTTGTTCAATTGCATTTTAATATACATGGATAGAACGGTGATTTTTTTGCACAAACTATTGACTCAGCTGTTACGCATTTCTTCGCTAATTTTTGCACAAAATTGTGTTACTGGCCCCGAACAATTTATAATCCCTAATTAATTCAACCCTTCTCGTTTTCGGGCATAATACCGGCCGAAGCAAAAAACGTCCTAATCCGGTCGATCTTTTTAAATCAGCCCCCTTTGCCCGATTTTGCACACGTGCATTCACATAACACAATTACTTTATAAAAATGTACCAAAATAATGGGGTCTAAAATTACCGAATCTTATAAAAGAAAAGCCGGGCCTTTGAAAAGCGTTCCTTATTTATCTTTTAACCCTTTTTTAAAATCGGAATACATAAAGCTTCCAGCTTGGATTTTTACAGCGGACCAAACGAACCGTTTTCCATTAGATTAAAGTGGGTTAGTTCGCAAATCTCATGGGCCAATTAGAGCCGATTTGTGTTCTTTTCTTTTATCATGTTTCCAAAGAGTTTTTGATCAGATGCATGTTAGAATGGAAGCCATTATTTCATATAAAAGGGGAGACTTTTAATATCATTGACCGAACATTAGCAATTTGGTTCACAGTTGCATTTTCATATACATAATACAGAAAAATCCATCTCCAGCATGCTTTTAGGATAAGTTTGGTTTGAATTTGAAAATTTACTCGCAACGTGATGGTCGAAACATGGTTTTTAAATGCAAATGAGTAGAAATCGAGGCGATTTCCTTATGGTCCCGGTAAAACATTTGTAATATATTCGGTGGATTAAGCAGATTAAAATAATTCGCCATGAAACATCAAATAAATCTTCGAAAACCACAAAATACTTAAAACGTTTCCGAGAACAATGCACATTATTTTTGAGCACTGAAGCTGGTTTATTAGAAGCAATTTAACCAATCAGAATCCATCCAGCAACAATTGGTGGATAAAAACGATCTAAATGGGCGACGAATGGGCCATTTCCCTCTTTCTAGTGACGCATATGCAAATGCACTCTATCAGCGTAATAACCTTTATAAATACAAAATTTTATGAATAGTTAAAAAGCCTAAATTGGTTAAATTGACCCTCAATTGTCGTGAGATATACGGATTCTCTCCGCGCGACTCTATTGGCTCTAATTTGTCGTGATTACGTCTAAACGACTGGACACAAACGAATAAAATCGAGACGACGGGACAAGAATAAGCGAAGACAAATAAAACTGAAAAAATATCGGGCGACCGACTGAGAAATTGAGAAATTATCCGAAAACCCAAAAACATAATCGTATCAAGCAAATTAAAATCTAACAATTCAAAATACATATAATAGATGCACAGCCTGCTGCCGTTAAAGAGGTGTAATGAACTGTGTCAGACATTAACATTCCTATCCAGGGCAAGTGTATATAAAACATACAGGATGTCTGGTTTATACGAAATTTATCTTTTTAATTTCCCCAACTTCAAACCGGCAGTGTTCTGTTCCCTTACCAAAACTTCGGTTCTTATGGAATCATAAAATACGACGAGTTTGATATGCATTTGGTTTGGCGTTTCTGGTTTTCGTTTCAGCTGGAGGTTTTTCACCTCCATATGGGATTTTTGACGAATTGTAGACGTGGGCAGCGATGACATTTTGTTGCTAGTTTAGTAGAAAAATAATAAATTCTCTCTCTTTGCTAGAACAGACGAAGCGTCAAAGCACTTAAACATGATTGATGTATTTTGGAAGCATCATTAAACGATCACCTTTTTTTTAAATTACGCTTTTTAATAAAAACCAGTTCCTGAACAAATCGGGTTTTTCTATTATTCAAAGCAGATAATGAACTTTATAGTGTTTTCCCCAGAATCGGGCTTCGCAAATAATCTTGCGGTTTTCATTGCCTTTATTATTTCAATTTGCACAACAAATGCAGATAATTTCTGGAAAAATTCATTATTTGCATTCAATGGTTTAAAACGCGGATATTTACATGATATGCAGATTTTTACTCATTTCGGTCAGTTCTTCAATTTGAGTCGCTATTTGTTCGCAATACCTGAAACTTTCAGCTAAAATCGCACCGGCTTGGCGATCGTGCTGCTTGAAAATAATCCATGATATTAATGTGTAAGAAAACACACGTTTTATTTTGTCTGCCCGACGGTTTTCTAACCTTTTCCTGATATTTCTAATTAGATTTCCAGGCAGCGGCGGTCTTTCTAATTAAAGACGCACAGAATAGAAATAATAGCCAAGCCATTTGCCAAGTTTCCTCGATTTTTCCAAATCGAAATGTTAAATTTTTGGCTTAGACGCAGAAATTTAGTCGATCGAAAAATAACTCTTTTCGCGACACGAAACAGATCGCTTATAGCGGAAATTTGCCAACCATCGATTGAATAAACGACAAAACCAAAAAAAAACTTCCATGTAATATTTGAAAATGTGCGTTATTGCAGTTTATGCCAAATTCATTTTACGTATTAGTCGGTTTTGAATCGATTTTTCACTTTTCTAGTTTATTTTACATTTTTTGCAGTGTCAGTTTGCTTCTGGCGCAAACAGAAATACGA